CCCCCCCCCCCCAAAAAAAAATCAGTGTCCAGAGCAGTTGCCCTGGCTGTCCTGCCCTAGTTATACCACTGGACTGGGGCTACAAAGGTAGCCAGGTTTCTAGCTAGATCCATCATCCCCTGGGTTACCTTTGCCGATCCTCATCCAAGCAGTTGACAATGGCGTTACGTTGTTCAATGATGGTCACCAGCTCTTCCATCAGCACCTTCTCCCTTGCACGGTCCTCCTCTGTCCACTCCTTATCTGCAGTCCAAAGAAAGCCCAAGGGATTAAAACAACTCAGCTTCCTCTGAAGCATGGAGCCCCAGGCTCAGAATTAAGCAGAGTCATACAGGAGACCTGGGTTTGATTCCCATCTGGTCTCATCTGGCAGGACTGGTGCAGTGAGGAATGCTACAGAGGCTTAATCCAGCAGGTGGCACCCTGTACCTCTACTGCAGTTCAGACTGAGGGCCTCTGCCTGCCTGGGCCATGCATGCAATCCATGCAGCTGCTCAGGAACTGGGACAAGAATGGAGTTTCTCATGTTACTCAACTGTGCAACCTGCAGTCAGGGGAGTGCTGAAATCCCTCAAAAAGGAAGTTCTATATAGTCCCCCTTACCCACAGAGTCACCATAACCAAGGGTCTATCAGGCACTGGAGAGACTTAGGACCTGCTCCAGATGGTACTCTGCCAGGACAATGAGACTTACCAGGCTTATTGAGAAGGCACCGCAGCTCATACTCCACATCCGCTTGACGTTGCTCCAGGTTCTGCTGCTTAAAACTACAAGGGAAAAGAATCACTACTGCAAAACCACTACATGGCTAAGAGACCCTTCTGCAAGGCAGTGTCTCCTTGTAAGGAAGGCAGGCCCATAGAGGTCAGGCTGGAAAGGTATAACTGCAGCCCCAACCCCTTCCAGCAAAAGGGGTAACCAAAAGGGGCACCAGTCCTAGCTGCAGTCTCGTCTAATGGGACAGATGTAGGAGTGGTGGCTCCTGGCCTCTTCCAGGAGATGGCACCATAGGAGCTCAGACTGTGGGGATGCTCCTAGTTCTTTCAGCTAGTTAGTTCCAAGTCCATCTGGACTCAGGGAAAAGGTTGTAATACTCCTCCCACCTCTTGCCAGCCTTGGCCACTTTTTGGGAAGCCTTCAGCTTAACTGAAGAAGTATTGCTGAAGCAGATGCCCCACAGCCTGTTTCTCATGACTGCCAAGGAACGTTTGCAGACTTCGCAACTAGCCTGGTCAGTACAGTAAAGCAAGCAATTCACCTAGCAGAGGAAGCAAAAAGGTCTGACAGGAAACCTCATACAAGAAGACTCTAAAGAAATTTTTATTTGCAATAAATAAACCGATTGTGGTATGTTATAGTGCTAGCTTAAAAATGTTAGCGGTAGTGATTGATTTAATCAAATTATTAGATGCGTGTATGTGTGCGTGCATATGCTATAATAGATACATTTTCATTAAGTTTCTTAGATAAACTGTAAACACAAAAGCAGCCTTATTAGACAAGACCTCAGAGATGAAAAGCCAACAGGATGAGGGCAAGCAACATTCCAAAATGGTGAAGGAAGGAGGTGAGAAATGATTCCTTCCAAAAAGGAATATTCCCAAGGACAAAATCCCAGCTAACTGACGCCTTTCAGGGTCACACCAATCTAGTCTAGCTCTCAGTGAAACAAAAGACTTTTAAATAAACCAATGAGATTGTGCTAGAGCAAACCCTGTATAAATGTGTGGTATGAACAGGAGGGAAGATAGGAAAACTCAGGGGATCCATGCAGACCTGCTGCCAGTCCGTGTGCCATCCTCCTTCCTGTTCTGTGTCTCCCCAGGAGGTGCTGGTGAGCATCTACCTTGCCCCATCACAGCTGGCCAGATGAACACTGGAACAAGTGTTTATTCTTGTGCTGTGAGGTGTACACAATACAAGTCCTGGCCACAGACCTGTTCTCCTTGTTCTTGTAAATGTAACCAACCTACCAGTACACCTGTACTCCAGGGAGCACATCTCCCCAGGGCTGGGACGGGGTCACTAGGAAAGCATGCTCTAACCTGGGACCAGAGGGACTCTTCCCAGTCCCAGCTGCTGTGCTTCTGTGTGTTCCCCCCTCACTTACATGTAGATGAGCTCAGATTCGCGGCGCACCAGCATGTGCTTCTCGTGGATGAGTTTGAACCAGTCCACCAGTAGTGTGTCCTCGGGGCTATCTGCCAGTCAAATCCAGCAGAGAAAGAGAGGTCATAGATATTTCCCAAGACCTCCTCTTCCCACTGTGCAGCAGGCCAGGCCAGGCTTGGCCAAGCTGGGATGAGGATGGTTCACTTAGAGTCAATCTGCCCTTAGCTAGATCCTGAATGCAGGTGAGGTGGAAGGCACTGAGAAATCCACTGCCCTCTCCCCTTTTCTCCCTGAGTGGAATGGTTCTTGGCTCCCCAGGGAAAGGAAGAAATTCTGATCCGCTACCTCACAGCCCACCATAAGTGGAATGGCCTCCCCCTTTCCCTACAAGAGTTTTCTGATCCTTCACTCCAGAACTCCCCAGGGCAGGGACTGTTACTACTTCTCCCCCCTCTCTGCCTCCGCCCTCAACAAGGTTGGCACAGCCCTTACAGGAAGAGTTGTAGCTGAGACAGTAGGACTATCTCACTCCCTGTCCCCTCTCTCACCCCCTAGGCTAGCACAGCCCACCATACCATTCTCTGTGCTGCGGAGTTTTTCTTCCAGTTCCACCCCTCGATGCTCAAGCTCATCCAGCTGGTGTTCAATGGCATCCATCTCTCCATAGATATCCTCCTCCGGGATGTACTGATCTGCCTGCACCTGCCAAACCACATGGTAGGACACCTATTGTCACAGGCCACCACCTCACTAGGTAGCTCCCTGGCCTATTTATATGAGGAAAATCAAGCAGCAGAGCCCCCTGTAGGAACACTGTGCATGGGGATACCTAGCTTGGGATATGTGCAAATTTAACCCACTCCCATGGGTTAAAGCACTAGATCTCAAGCTTTTCTGCATCACGTTCCCCTTTGTAAGTTTTTTATGGAGCACACCCCTCTGATTCCAATAACTGCAACACTATCTCCACAGCCATGCCAGAACCTCTCCAAGAGCCTAGCAGAGGTAGAGCTGCTCTTCGTTTTCCCTTTTTCTTCATTTTTTTTGTTTATATCCTTCCCTTCCCTTCTGTTTCTCCAATCCTTCATCTAGAAATCTGCCATGTCCCGCCAGGGATAATAAATGTAGCTCAGTTAGACATACTATGTCAAAGGGTCATCAGAAGAAAGCATTTGCTCCTTCCCAAAAAGGCTATGGGCACTGCCAAAAGGAAACACTTGTAGCACACCCGTAAAAGTTCCTTTCCCTCCGTAGCTCGCATGACCCCCCACTTCTTGTGGGGGAGGGGTGTATGCGAACACCCCTCTAACTCAGGAGCTTCTCTCGGGAAGTCTGGCAACTGCTGTGCCATGGGGTGGATTGGAAGAAAAGGAAGAACCATTTCATTGCCCACTGTGGGGGAGAAGAGACTAGGATGGGACCTGGGGTGCATGGTTCTAGGCAGCCTGGCCAACACACAGGTCCAAACAAACCCACTGATGACCTGGGTCATGTGCCACAGGGTAGGCAGTGGGCTCTGCACCCGTCACCTGCATCCTGCAACAGCCAGACATGTGTCCCTCCCACCATCAGGGAGGAAAGCTCAGCCTCAGCAGCCAGCACAGAAGTGGCACTTGCCCCCTTGCTCTGCCATGCCCTTTACCTTGCGCTTGATCAGTGGAAAGCCATGCCCTGGTGCAGGAGGGCGCACTGGCTTGGATCCCTTCAGGGGTTTCTTGGCTGAAGGGGAAGCAGCCGGTGATGGCTTCCGGTTGAAGGGGTTTTCTTTGCAGGAAGACTGGGAAAGAGATGACAAAGAGATGACTCTGGGCCCAAGAGGTGATAAAGCTGATCCCAGGGTAGGCTGCAATGGCTGAGCAGACACTCTCTCACAGCACCGCCCCACTGGGAATTGAGCCGCAGTCACTGAGGCTGCTGTCTCACTGGTGCATCCAATCCTTGGTCACAATAATCACCTTTGGAGCTGTAACTCCCCCCAGAGTAGGAGAGGCAACCCTGGTCATTCTAGCCTAGCTAGTGTCCCTCCTGATGCCACAGGCCTCTGGATTAATATTTCTCAGCCCCACTCATTTTAATTTCGATGGATACGTGTTTCTTCAGGTTGATGGTAAGAATCAAGTCTGATATTGGCCATAGCCTCTCACTCTCTCAGCACTGTTAGCCACAGGCCATGGAACACTGTACTAAGCTGCTTCCTTCAGTAATGTTACATGGCAATGAGTTCCACAGCTCTGCTACTTCTTGGATGAAAAGCTATTTCCTTTGAGCAGCATTTCCAGGTGTTGTGCTTGCAGAATGTACCTCCTTGTTCTTATCCCTGAGACAGGCTGAGTAAAAGCATAGCTGCCCTCTAATGACAACATATCCTAACGTGAAGATCTGGTCTGATTCCAGCAGACATAATACAAACCAACAACCATGCACCAATGGGGCAAGGACAGCAGCTGTTTTACTGACAGACAGGGCAGAGCCTCACCCAGCATGGTGATTCCAGAGATAAGTCAGGAGCCTGGGAAATTGCCATGTGAGAGCAGGAAGGTGGGCATGGACAGCATGGCTCTCAGCTTTAGCACACAAGGAACAGTGAAAGCCAGTAGGTAGCTGAAGGCCAGAGGCCTATTAACAGAACCAGCTTCCCCCTCCCCTTGAGCATCTCTTTCAGGCCTCTATGGCAGTGGTCTCCAAACTTCTTTGATTGTGCACCCCTATCAGTAAAAAATTTTTGAGCACGCACCCCCAATATACATATATTTATATTCACGCACACCTATCAGTAAAAAATTTTTGAGCATGCACCCCCAATATACGTATATTTATATAAATAGAAATAGAAGTTCTAATATTTTCTTCCTGCACCCCAATGGATTGGCTTGCACACCCCCCGAGGTGCACACACCCCACTTTGGAGACCACTGCTCTATGGAAGAAAAGTATGTTGAGGGGATGGGGAGTTTGGGAGAGGAGGGACCATGGTCCTTGTCTGCACAAAAAGGCACACAAGCCTACCTTCAGCAGTGGCTTGGGTGAGGGGGTATTTGTGAGGGCGCCAGCACCCACATCTGAGGCCAATAGGATAGGAGTGGGGCTAGCCCCAGCAGGAGGCTTTGGGGGGAGTCGGCTGGGGCTGGTCTTCAAGTTGCTGGCAGAAGAGCTCCTGCTGGTCTGCAGGGCCCCACCCTGCGCTTCCCCACTGTAGCTGGCCAGCTCACTGGAGGATGAGAAGGAGGAGTTGGTAGAGAGGCTGGCAGGGGCAGCGGGACTCTCACTGGAAGAGACACTGGTGAGTGGGGTATCTGCACTGCAGGTCTTGGAAGCAGCTGGGGTGTGGACCGTGGGCTCGGAGGAGCTCTTTGGCACTGAGCTCTCATCAGCGTCACCGGCAGTCTTGGCTGAACACTCGGAGTTGATGCTTTCAAGGCTGAGGGCAGGAGACGGAGCAGAGGAGGATGGCTCCGAGTGCGAGAGCCTGGAGATGGGATGGTGAACTACAAAGGGAAGGAACAGGTGAGAGGGGAACAGAGTAAGAGGAGGCCAAACCTTTTACTCTGCCCACACGTAGGAGATGCAGGAGATCCCACCAGGAATAAGGATCCTCTGGTGAGTCTCAACCCTTGGGAGTAGAGGGGAGAGAAGCATCTGGAAGTCCCAGTCCCAGTAAAGCTACCATGGAGGGGAGGACTTGTTCTGCCTTATTAGCAGCTGTGGGTGCTAGTAGCTTTGGAGCTGCCTATTCTTGCGGGGGAGGAGGCAGTAGCAGCCCCAAGTGGGAGGGCTGAGCACTGTCCTCTCTACCTCCCTGGCTGCTCTCTGGTCTGTGACAGAAGGGGGCTCACCTAGCGGGGAGGCACTGGGTGCTTTTGGTGCTGGCCGCTTCTTCATCTTGGGGCTGCTGGTGGGGGTGATGCCATACCAGGGATGGATGGGTTTCGCTCCACCCTCGCCCTGCTCCTGCTTTGGTGTGCTCTTGGGCATGGCAGCTTCCTCCTCTTCCTCCTCATCCTCAAAGGGGTTATAGGGTTTGGGTTCGCTGCCGTCAGCTCCACTGCCCCTGTCCTTTGCCTTCACCTCCTCTTCCCCATCCTCTTCCTCTGAAGTCCGGCTTGGGGTCTCTCTGCCACTGCCTGGTGGGGGCGGAGCTGGCTTCTTTTTGGGTTCAGCCTGCACTAAAGCAATCCACGGAGGGTTCTTTGTTCTTGCAGAAGCTCCTGATCTAGTTAAGGGGAAGGCCCGAAACAAGGAAGAAAGAATGATGGGAGGGGAAGGTGGGTGGGAAAAAGGAGGCAGGACAGCAGAGGGAATTCACAGAGAATGGACATCTCAAGCAGGGCATCTGAAAAGCCTTCTCCACCACAGGCCTTCTCTGGGCACCAAATATTCATGCCCAGGAGCAGGCTGGGGCAGACTGGCCTGACACATTTCCAAGCCAGGGGAGCTAAAACCTGCCAGTCTCACTAATGAGGTTTGGAAGTAGGCCCCTAGGTCTTCATTTCTCCATCTGCCAAAGCAACACTTGGAGCCATTCTGTGAAAGAGTAGTCTCTCTCCCATCCCCTCCTCCGTTATTCCTCAACAGGGAAGAATAAGTCATCCCTCATGCTCAGCTCAGTGCTGCCAACCACTGGGGGCAGAAGGGCAGCATAAGGCCTTGTCAATACTTCTGTCACCACGAGACCTTGTGGGAGACAGCAGCCACCACAAGGAAGCCACCAGAATGCATGTACACCCCTATGGCATCTGGCAGCTCCATGCTGCTCCAGCCACAATTGTGTAGCTCTGTGGTGACAGGGCATGCAGCACACCTTGGGCCCGGCACTGAAGGGATGCAGCAGCTAGTAGGAGATGCAGAACTCCTTTCAGGCTGGAGGGCTGGTGTGGCCCTGTTGGCAGAAAGTGACAGTGCTGCCACCACAGGGAAGCCACAAGCATGGATGCACCCACAGTTCTGCTGGCAAAACTATGTAGGGCAGACTAGACCCGAGCAGTATAAACGGCTCCTTCTGGCTGGGCCTGCTGTTGCAATCCTCACCACCAGCTGAGGTGGGAGAAATGCAGGAGTCTCCCCACTGCAGGAATTAGTTTCATCTACCCACTGAATGCAGGAATGTGGCTCCGGGAAGTCCGTCACAAAACCATTTATCAACCCATAATCAGACCAAGAAAAAGCCCCAGAGGCCCAATGCCACATCTGTTCACTCAG